GCAAGTGAGCGTAAATAAGTACAAGCGAGGCGCTGGGAGTGCGTGTGAGTGCAATAAGTACAAGGGAGTGCAATGGAGTGAGCGCGTGAGTGAAAGTGAGCGTAAACGATTGCAAGTTGGTGCAAGCGATTGCGCATGAGTGCAAGCGAGTGTATGTGTGTGTGTGAGTGCAGGGAAGTGCAAATAAGTACAAGGGAGTGCAAGGGAGTGAGCGTATGAGTGCAAGTGAGCATAAACGATTGCAAGTTGGTGCAAGCGAGTGCGCGTGAGTGCAAGTGCGTGTGAGTGCAAGTGAGCATAAATAAGTGCAAGGGAGTGCAAGTGAGTTCAAGCNGAGAGAGAGAGAGAGCGAAAGCTTCAGTAATTATGTATTCATAAGGAAATAGACAGCGACAGAGGGTGAGTATATTTGAATATATATGAGAGCGCTGAGCGCTCACGGATTGACGTGAGATATATAAGCGGATCGCAATTGCTTTGTAAATTATATTTTTCGGTTCATATGCGATATATATCTGATGTTGAGTAAGACAAAATCCTTGCCGCATTTCTCTGGGCATGTCTGTCAGATTCACTGTTCCCTGATACACCCGTGAGCGAGAGAGGGGGGAGAAGGAAAAAAAGGGTGAGAGAGAGAGAGTGAGAGGAAGGGTGAGAGAGAGCGAGTGAGAGGAAGGGTGAGAGAGAGAGTGAGAGGAAGGGTGAGCGAGAGCGAGTGAGAGGAAGGGTGAGAGAGAGAGAGTGAGAGGAAGGGTAAGAGAGAGAGTGTGTGCATGTGTATGTGTATGTGTATGTGTGTGCGTGTGCGTGTGTGTNCGACGAGAAAAACGACGACGACGAGAAAAACGACGATGGCGATGATAATGACGTCAGAAAATGGTAATTGATCTAACGTAATACGTTTATTGGAGCGTAGCGCAAGCGCTGAGCGTACATAGCATGAAAAACACATCGATTGCGTGTGCACAGTCATCAATCAATACCTATACGAAATCATGCGAACAGGTATAGAGAAAACAAGATGGCGGTAGATCAAACTCGCAGATTCGTAACGACAGGTTGAAATACGTGCAGCGGAATTCATCACACTATTGAAATTTATTTTACGATAAATACAAGTAATTGACTCGCTGGCTACACTTTCTGATTGCCGATCTAGCAGTGTGTGACAAGCTGAATGAGGTTGGCTGGGTTTAGGGATAGATCGTAGTAAAGATGGAGATTTCACTATATCGTCTGCTTTGCTGACTACCTCGGCGTCTGCTCACGGCGGTGAATTATGCAAATTATCAAAATCAAATACACCGCGAAAGTGTGGAAACGATCGAGGATTGCTTGGCGTTATATGGCGGTGTTTGATGTGTGGCGCGGAAGAGTGTAAGAGAGAGAGAGGGGGAGGGAAGGTGGGAGAGAGAGGTAGAGAGGAAGAGAAGAAGAGGGAGCGAGAGGAAGGGAGAGCGAGAGGAATGGAGGGAGAGAAAGAGAAGAAGAGGGAGAGAGAGGAAGGGAGAGCGATAGGAACGGAGGGAGAGAAAGAGGGCGCGAGAGAGAAAAAGGGGGAGGGAGAGAGAATAGAGAGAGAGTGAAGGGTGCCAGAAATACATCCGCGTGTCGCTTCCATGTGAACACTGTGAGAAAGCCGTCACCGCCTTCATTCTCAGGTTCACTCACACACGCGCACGCACGCACACTCA